TAACTTCCATCATATAACCCTTTCCCACCTCCTCACCCTTCTGGTCTCCATTGTCTGTTATTCCACTCTCAACCTCCATGTGGACACATTTTGAAGCACCCACCTATGAGTGAGAACATGTGATATTTGACTTTCTGTGTCTGGTTTTGTTTCATTTAAGATAATGACCTCCAGTTTCATCTATGTTGCTGCAAATGTCATGATTTCGTTCTTTTTTATGATTGAATAATATTCCATAGTGTAATTATACCACATTTTCTTTCTCTAGTCATCTGTTGATGGATACTTAGGCTGATTCTGTATCTTTGCTATAGTGGAATAGTGTGGCAATAGCATAGAAGTGCAGGATATCTTTTTGATATATTGATTTCTTTGTGCAGATGCCTAGTAGTGGAATTGCTGCATTGAATGGTGGTTCTATGTTTATTTATTTATTAGAAAACAAAATTGGAATATTCTTTTTTGTTTGTTTGTTTGAGTTGGGGTCTCACTGTGTTGCCCAGGCTGTAGTGTAGTGGCATGATCATGGCTTATCACAGGCTCGACCTACTGAATTCAGGCAGTCCTTCCACCTCAGTCCAGAGTACCTGGGACTACAGGTGCATGCCGCCACGCTTGGCTAATTTTTTGATTTTTTGTAGAGATGAAGTCTCACTATGTTTCAAGTCCAGGCTAGTCTCAAACTCTAGGGTTCAAGTGATCCTTGCGCCTCAGCCTCCCAGAACTGCGGGAATTACAGGCTTGAGGCACTGTGCCCCACCAGGAATACTTATTCTGAACTCAAAATGAACACTAAGCAGTTAGGGTAAGAGGACAAACAGCAAGTTCCACCCCAGCCCTATTTCTCCAATGCTGCATGGTCAAAACGGAGTCTTAGAGAGAATACTGGATGATAGAGGACTTGGCAGTGATTTCTGAGGGGTCTGGACTGAAGCTGCATCTTTGGCCACCTTTCCTCCTGTTCTTGGGCAAGCCCAGAACAAAGCATTAGTCAACACTGGTTGGCTGTCCTGTCAAATTCTGCCCATCAAGATCCTCCAGAGCAGCCTGCTTCTGGGGTGTATGTGTGTGTGTGTGTGTGTGTGTGTGTTTCTTTATTTTGTGTTTTTTAAAAGTTTTAGATTCATTGGAGTACGCATGGGTATTCACTACGTGGATATATTGTGTAGTGCTGGAGATTGGGTCTCAGGTGGCCCATTCCCGATAGTGAACATTGTGCCCAGTAGATAGTTTTTGAGTCCTAACCCTCCTCCATCCTTCCCCCTTCTTGGTGTCCCCAGTGTCTATTATTTCCGTCTTTGTGACCGTTTAGCTCTTACATATGAGAAAGAACATGCAGTATTTGGTTTTCTGTTTCTGAGTCAGTTTACTTAAGATGATGATCTCCAGCTTCGTCCATGTTGCTGCTAAGGACATGATTCATTCATTTTTTTTTTTTATGGCTCCGTAGTATTCTATGGTGTAAATATAACATCTTCATTATCATCATTTAGGCTGATTCCACATCTTTGCAAATGTGAATTGTGCTGTGATAAACACGCAGGTGCAGGTGTCTTTTTAATATAATGACTTCTGTTCCTTAAGGTAGATAACTAGTAGTGGGATTGCTGTACCAAATGGTAGATCTACTTTTAGTTCTTTGAGTAATCACCATACCGCTTTCCATAAAGATTATACTAATTTACATTCCTACCAACAGTGTATAAGTGTTCCCTTTTCTTTACATCCATGCCAGCATCTATTGTTCTTTGATTTTTTGATAATGGCCATTCTGATTGGTATAAGGTGTATCTCATTGTGGTTTTAATTTGCATTTCCCTAATTATGAATGATGTTGATCATTTCTTCATATGCTTGTTGGCTATTTCGTTGGTTTTTTTGTTTGTTTTTTTTTTTGAGTTGGAGTCTCACGCTGTCACCCAGGCTGGAGTGCAGTGGCCGCTCCCAGCCACCACAGCCTCGACCTGCTGGGCTCCGGCGATCCTTCTGCCTCAGCCTTCCTAGTAGCTGGAACTACAGGTGCGCACTACCACGCCCAGCTAATTTTTGATTTATTGTAGAGATGAGGTCTCGCCAAGTTGCCCAGGTGGATCTCGAACCCACGGGCTCAGGCAATCCACTCACCTCAGCCTCCCAAAGTGCGGGATTACAGGCTGAGCCACCGAGTACGGCTTATTTGTATATCTTATTTTGAGCGATGTCTATTCATGTCATTTGCCAACTTTTTAATGGGATTATTTGCTTTTTCTCTTGCTGATTTGTTTGAGTTCTTTGTAGATTCTGGATATAAGCCCTTTATCGGATGTGTAGTTTGTGAATATCTTCTTCCATTCTGTAGGTTGCCTGTTTGCTCTGTTGATTATTTCTTTTGCTGTGCAGAAAGTTTTTAGTTTAATTAAGTCCCACTTATTTATTTTTGTTTTAGTGCATTTGCTTTTGAGATTTTAGCCATAAATTCTTTGCCTAGGCCAGTGTTCACTAGAGTTTTTCATAGGTTTTCTTCTAGGATTGTTATAGTTTCAGTTCTGACTTTTAAGTCTTTAATTCATCTTGAGTTAATTTTTGTATGTGGGGAGAGGTAGGGATCAAGTTTCATTGTTCTGCATGTAGCTATCCAATTTTTCCAGCATTTGTTGAATAGGGTGCCCTTTTCCCAGTGTATGCTTTTGTCTGCTTTGTTAAAGATCAGTTGGTTGTAGGTATTTGAGTTTATTTCTGGATTTTGTATTCTGTCCCATTGGTCCATGTATGCTCTTGAACCAGTACCATGCTGTTTTGGTTACTGCAGCTGTGTAGTATAATTTGAAGTCAGAAAATATGATGCCTCCTGCTGTGTTTTTTTTGCTTAGGATTGTTTTGACTATTCTGGTTCTTTTTTGGTTCTGTATGAATTTTAGAATTGCTTTTTTAAATTGAAAAATGATGACCGGGCTCGGTGGCTCAGCCTGTAATCCCAGCACTTTGAGAGGCCGAGGCAAATGGATTGCCTGAGCCCGTGGGTTTGAGACCTACCTGGGCAACTTGGTGAGACCTCGTCTCTACAGTAAGTAAAAAAATTAGCTGGGCATGGTAGCGCACACCTGTAGTTCTGGCTACTTGGAAGGCTGAGGCGGAAGGATTGCTGGAACCAAGCGGGTCAAGGCGGCAGTGGCCAGGAGCATGCCACTGCACTCCAGTCTGGCTCACAGAGTGAGACTCCCACTCTGCTGGAGACCAGCTCCAGCTGGGTTCAGGGTACCCCAAAGGTGGAGATGGCATCGGCGATTGGGGCAAAGAAGAAAGAGAGAGAGAGAGAAAGAAAGAGACTGGACTCCAGTCTAGTGCAGAAGCCGTTTAATGGGAATTACAACTGGTCTTTTATACACAGTTGGGTGTGTGAGGGGTGTTCCCCACCCACCGGATGCTCTTTCAGGTATAATCCCATAACCTAATCATTGAAACCTTAATCCATTTATTCAACTTCAATAAATCCTAAGATCATGACCCAGAAGCCTGTGACCAATCCTAAGGCTCTTAGATGTGACCCGAGTTTGAATTATAGGTGTGTGAAAGCCAAAGCTGCAGTTTGTGGAAGAATGGGAGCAATGAGTTTCTAAAGTTAGCTCGTGTTTGTCCCGGTCTCAGAGTTTTTATGTTTTGAGTTCACAGGAGCTTAATCTGGTTAGTGCTGAGAAGAAAGGGGGAGGAAATGGGGTCAATAGCTCCCGAACGCATCCTAGTGGTCTCAGGGTCAACGGCCCTTCCTGATCCCTAACGCTCAGTGGGCCTCCGTGGCCAGCTCCCCAACACCACTCAAAAAATAAAAATATAAATATAAATAAAAAATTGAAAGATGACGTTGGTAGTTTGATAGGGATTGCATTCAACCTGTAGATTACTTTGGGTAATATAGTCATTTTAATAATATTGATTCTTCCAATCCATGAGCATGGGATGTTTCTCCTTTTTTGTGTCCTCTGTAATTTATTTCATCAGAGTTTTGTAGTTTTCCTTGTAAGGATCTTTCACCTCCTTGGTTACATATATTCCTAGGTATTTTAGCTTTTTGG